CAGGGCCGCAACATTTCATGTTTCGGAATTCACCTACAGCCCCCCCCCCCCCCCCCCAGCAGTCAAAAGCTGACCCAATTTGAATTTTAGAATTCCATGCTGACCCAAGATCCGTAATTAACCTTTCACCACTTGTTCCCACTTTTCATCACAAATTCACAAAATAGTCCCGTCTATAGGCTGCATTTTCCTTCAGAAGATTGGGACAAAAATAGCCAAATTCATTTTCAGAAATATTGAAGAATATAAGAAAAAAGTACAGAATAATTTGGGCTAGAAAGTCTGGTGGTTAAGTCAGAAACTTGTAGTCAGTCACTGTGTGTTCTGGCGTTAACCAACTGTCCCTTAATGTTGTGATATGACAGCATTTATATGATGTAATAAAGTGTGGTCTACATTGTCTTAGGAAGACTTTGTTTATGACATTTCCATCTTGTCTTTTATAGTAAGGACTTTGAACAAACTAGTACAACCCATTGTTATATATCTTGTATTATCTAATCTGTATTCACTGTCTTTGGCTTTTTCTTTGTCACTACAAACCTGTTGTGTCCATTGTGTCATGGTAACACAAAGACAATACTTATGATTAAAAAGACATGCATTTTTGCGATTGTCAGAGGAGCATATTTTAATGTTAGTTGTTTGCCTTTTTATATTGTACAGTTTTATCTGCAGTTGAAAGTTTGAACATTAAAATGTTAGTATGAGATTACCAGTTGTACAGTTTACACTATATTGTTATTGTTATTGTAGCTCTGTACAGTGCAAGACTGAAATTCCTGTATTTAGTACAGTTTTACCATCTCAGACTTGAAAATAATTTGCCTATAAAGTAAATAAAAATGTCTTAACTGTGAACTTGAGAGCCGTGTTTATATTTTCTTTTTCGCATTCCAGACATGTATTTCTGTTTCTGCTATATCAACCACCCCTTGTACTGATGATCAAGTACAAGGTTAAAGGTTAAAAGAAAAATTGAATAAATGTAGAACCTTCAGTCCTTGTACAAGCTACATATTTACATGAATAATACTTGTGTCACTGATAAGACAACTCTAATTCCTAGGGGTATTTCTACTTCACTTATACCTAGTTCCCTTTTGTTTGCCCTGTTGGAAACCATTTCACACACACACACACAAAATGGGCCAAAAATAGCAACTGAAATTTGATCATGCAGATTACCTGTACTATGATGATGGTATTAAAATCACAATTTGTACATGAATAAATCAGAAAATCACATTGCAACTAATCGTCAATGCATAATGAAATTAAGTCACAACATATGGTTGTCGTATTTACAACTTTAGATCAAAGGGTGGTGTTCTTCCTAGTGACAACTTTCAACCAATCAGAGGCCAGGTTACAAAACGGTGTACAAAATATTAGACGTTCTTGACGATGAGGTCGCTGTTACAATTGGGTTCAATACGGTCAAAATAAGCAGTATCACTGTTGCATAGAAAACATCTGTAAAAAGTTTACTCCACTCCTACGAAAACGCTTTGATAAACACAAATAGGAATTATAAACATAACCTCGACAAACATGAACAATATTTATCTAAAACTGAAGAGAGATCAAATGTAATGAACAAATCAGGCAACAATGCAGTACCAGTTTCAAGAAGTCGACAGCGGTCACCCAGTTTATCAGTCCACACTATACACAGTTGACAGTCAATGATAACGAGCAAAAAACGGATTCTAGTAGAAATCCGTACACACCGTTCTTACTCTTTAAAATTTCAAAGCGGAGAGCAGCGACGATGACACATCACACTATCCAACCACGGGCAATTCACACAGGGGATTTTTTTTTTAATTATAATAAATGCATGTAGTATATACATTCAACGTTGTATTTTTGGGTGTATTTGCCCCAGCAGCCGATAGTATGTCATTTCGATGGGTACGACAGTACTTATGTAAACACACCATAGGGAGTAGGGATAATATATTATTGAAAACAATATTATACAATATATTTTGTTTTTTATCTACCTCTCCTGTATAATGAACTGTTCTTGCCAGTGACCTTTGCCGCATATTTACTTTTACGAACGTCTGGAACCAGCTGAAACACTGATACACTGAACCTGACATGGACGGTTACAGCGCCCTCATCGACTGATTCTCATACGCAAAATCTTCGTCATTCTGGTCAATTTTAAATGAATTTTGAGTGTATCTATTTGATATTGCTATGATCATACCGGAATCCTAGACTACTATGAAGCAAAAAAAAAAAAAAATAGGTTTTTGCGCGCGTCAGTTTGAAAGCTGCGTCTAACGCATTTTTTCAGTGATGCTGGTAAAGTGCGCCACATACGATAGAATTAGCAAATATATTTCGTTTTCGGTTTCAGAGGATGTTTAGTTGACCTATGTAAACATTTAATCTATGCATAAGAAAGCAAATGTTGAACATATATCTTGTGTGTTTGTTGTTTATAATAATACAGTCACTTTACTATGTATCGGTTGATATATGCATGTTAATATGTTTCCAATCGATCTCAAAACGGATCTT